ACAAAATCTGTCGTAGAAGAAATTAGAAAGTGTGTACGTACGTACTACAATAACTTACGCAAGACTGGGAAGATTGTGTTTCTGTGCAACATTCATGTTAATTTGATAGTTCGACATACATACGAACATACGTTTGTTCGTTTCAGTTTGCGATTGGAACCATTTGTGTTTTGAGCGCCTCGCAAATACCACGAAAAAGATGAGACTTTGATGATATCGGGGGGGGGCGATATGGATCTCTCTCTCTCATCATATGCAACTCTTCGAGATAGATGAATACATGTGCAAAAAAGGAACTGTCCAGATAAAGAGGTTTTTATCGATGATCTTTTTTTTTTTTTTTCGTGGCGATCTGATGATCATCGGACAAACCATTCGGTTTTCCCCCGTTCTTCCCTTTTAATGCTCTTGTATCAGTCCCATATCTGACACAATATGTGCATTAATACTAAAACAAGCTGGGTTAATGCGCGCGTATATCTCACAAAATTACAACGTTGCACATCGACGACGACAACGACAACGACAACAAGTTTAGAAGAGGGAACTTTTTATAGAAGCCAAGTTCTGATGCTCAGCGAACATTCGAGTATTGAGCATTGATGCCGATAGAACGTGCACAGTAAAAATTTGCAAATACGTGTTGAGGTATTTTTTCTCCAGTCAATTACGATGTTGTCCTTTTACTTTCGTCCCTGTCCTCCCAAGTTCAAGGACTATCATCGCGCGTACACGGTGACGAATGAATCCTTTCTTGTATTTTCCAAAAAGAATACTCGAATTTTTAATAAAGCCATTTTGAACCGATGTGTGTTTGCCACTTACCAAAATCATCCGTTCACTATAATGAAAGAGAAATTGGTCACATGCAAATTTGGATTGCATACGCATGTATGTACATACGTAATCATAGCTTGGGAAAAAAAGAAGTGAAGTTACACAAACGCACATTCCCCACATTCGCCGCAAACCACATGTAGGTTCATCTTTACCTATCTGGCTGGAAGGAATACATTTACAATTTTTTGAGCGAATCTTCGCCTTGGTTTCGGTCAGGATATTAACAATATTACCATATTTACGTGCGTACGAATCACGAATTTCATTCGACAGGCAAATCAAACTTGATGTTGTGAAAAACTCTCGAATAGGTTTCATTGACAGAATTGGATCGAACAAATTGCCCCTATGAATTCATGAGGAACAAAAAAGGGATACTCTTTTTTTTTGTTTTTTTTTTTTTTTTATGGAAAATCAGTCATCATTTTAACTCTGGAATTTTCTGTGGAGTACCCTACTGCTGCCTCCGCCTCTGTTTGAGTGTACGGGGCTTCTTTTAACAATTTGATCCTGTTTAACACAGGCATTGTTAGTCATTTTCCCCAAATTCAAATAAATCTGAATGTAAATAAATATTTGATCAGTCTATAATCCCTCTTACCGTTTTTTGTGAACTTTACCACGCTGATGTTCTTTAAGTGCATCGGAATTTATGAAATATCGCCTAACCGGTTTTTAATATGACCGTTGATATGAAAATTGGAAGTCCATATACATACACGAAATGCAAACAATGGCTTCGGCCAGAATACTTACGCGCAGGGAATGCAAGGATACTTTCCGGATCCAGGCAACTCCAAATCCGATGCTTGATCTTCATCTGGCGCTACGTTACCTCCACTACCTTGTTCGTCAATGTCAATTTTTTCTTCAAGCCTCCTCAATTCTTCGTGAACCTGATCTAAATCTTTGACGTTGTTCCGAGTCTTTCGATAATGATCTCTGATCCCTTTTCATTTCGAGTTACGTTGAAAGTCGCCGAAAATAGTAAGTTTTATGCCATTTTTTTTTTTGGAAGGGAAAAAAAATTTCTTTTTTTAGGGGTCGATTCTCCTTTCAGATTTTGAAAACCTACCTTTATGAGTCCTTGACCTTCGTATTTTTCCCATGTTTCTTTGTCACCCGGGTGATATTTTTCATGGTACAGTCAGCCGACCTTTCACAAAGAACTGAAGAAAAAAAAAGATTTTTTTTTTTTTTCTTAAAAAAACAAATTCTTAGGTTTGTCCAGTTTTATATATCCCTAGATTACGATAACGTAACAAGATAAGATCATCGCCTAAATTAATACAATGTCATGGGATTGGCGTATATGTACGCACGTTATCCCGATGCGTACAGTACGTGCGTATAGAAAGAGATTAGTCAAAATATTTGTATTTTTTAGACAAGTTTCGATCTTTTGGAAAAAAATATTGGTTAGATGATAGTAATACGAAGAACGAATATGAATGATCTTATTGATCAATTTGTACCGTGGGAACTTTCCTCATGTGAGGTTCGATTGAATTTTGGAAATAAATAAAATTTATCAAAGTAAACTTTGACAGGAGAGTCAATGCATACATCCATACGCATTTTTATGCAGATTCGATGTATCATTTATTACTTTACACAACCGTTATTGCAGAAAATGTAGCCTACCCAAATACATGAATTTTTGATGGCCCTTGATGGGAAATTAATGTCCGGTGTTGATTGTGCGATTGAATTGACTAAATACAGTACTTTTTGGCATATCAATTTTTTTTTTGGGGAGGGGGGGAGGGGAGTTCGGTAGTGGTGCGGAATGATCGCTCACTTGGTCGATTTTTCCATCAATGCGTCGTATTCTTTCGATGCCTCGAGTTGTTGCTGGTATTCGATCAATCGTAAATTTTCCCGTTCCCTCATCATCTCGCCAAAGATCATTATGGGCAAGGTAAAATCCCTTTTGGTCAATGATTTGGTAGGAATTCGGTGCCCAAACGCGAGAGCTGATCGAGAACTCTTGCGTAATCCTGAAGGCATGGCGGTGTTGGGTTTAATGAATGTCATAACGCGCTGATGAGCGGAAAGGGTGGATGACGGTAGGTCAATCGACGAAGTAGTTATTGCCTTCCGAACTTTTTTTGCCCGTGGTAATGCTTTGGCTGATTTCTTGATCGTTATCGTCTTATTTAAATTATTCTCATTTGACTGTTTTTCATTCCTTTTTCGACTTCGGGTCACCCGAATAGGTGTCTCGGCCTTCATTTTCGAAGGAACATCATCTGAATTCGCGTTACTTGTGCGCCTCGATCCTCGAAGCCGTATCTTCTTACATTCTGGTTCCTCTGTCACCTTGCTCTCCCCTTCCGTATTATTACTACTCACATCGGTCTTTCGCTTCTTTCCCCCGAGCCCCAGTGAGTCATACCGCGCCAATGTATCTTCGGCTTCTTTGAGAAGTTTCTTATGTGCCGTCTCTAGTTTGCTTGCATCATTCGTCGCATCGTTATTGCGCAAGGCTGCAACGGATATCAAGTTTTTGGAATCGGTATTTCGTAACTTCTCGACCGCCAGCTGTTGCTGATACCGTTCATATGTCAACCTTTCTCGCTCTCGGTTCTTTAGTTTCTTCTCTGCAAGTTCATGCTTACGATGACGCTTTTCGTATGCTGCATCAGATATGTCCTCCTAAAGTTCATCGTCACCGATATCGTAAATTGTTGATCTCGACGTTAAAATTACTATTTATAAGGATGGTGACAGTCACAAACCTCTTGCGCTTTGCTACGTAGACCGCTGCCGACGTCTTCATCCCATAACTTAAACGAGGGGAC